ATTTATGTAACTGAGGCGACAGGTTCTTTTAAGTCTCATCTCTTGGAAGCTGTTCTGTCCAATGAATGTTGGACTTCAAGTTTCACAACGTCTTGACATCGAGCCAACATGAAGACCTTTTGTTCACTGTCATGCTATAAATCAGCTGCCATCTTATTGTCTGTGTTTGGATCGAGATCTCTCCCTTGTTGCAATAATGAACTTCTCATATTGTGTGCAATTTAAATAGTTTGTTTTCTTATTTAAAGTCAGGACTCTGGCATATTACTTCCACAAGACTCCACAGCGGGACCTTAAAGCCTGGACCATGGCGTTTGCTTTATTACTGTATTTTGCTGCTTTTAAGGGCTATTTCATTAAACTGCATTCAGGAAAATAAACAAAATTTGCAGCACTGGGATTTGTTTGACCCAACTTTCCCAAAATTCTCAGCAGGCCTTGCACAAGAGAGCGGTGCCAGCCGGTCCCTCTCTAACAATACTGCTGTAATGTTTTGTTGATGCTGTGGTTTGCGTGGCGCTGGCTGCACGGCGCCAACGTTTCCTACTGCTTCGAGCTGCACGCTGGGCTGTTTTCTTACCAAAAAACTGTTACAGTTTTGGAAAGAAACCCTGAGTCATGCTCTGCGTGAATCATCCATGAATCATCCACTCATACGGAGAGCGCATGATTCATCGGTGACAGCTCGCCAAAGTGCTGAGGAGTGAAAGCATATTAAACAAATAAGACAGAAATATAAAAAAGGGTCAAACTCATAACATACATATTACTTGTATTCTTTCATTTTAAATCCTGGTCTGAACTGGATCACAGGTGGACACAGTGGTGACCTGGTTTCTCAGCTCCATAAAACTTGTCCTTTGCACTCTCCTACAGAGTTCACTTCATGCTTAAGTGCAGCTTAATGTATATTTGTGAACAAAAGTTGACACACATTGTTAAGACCAGGTATATGATGGCTGTCTTGAGTTTCCAGTGACTCTAATAACTCTTAATTTTCTATGATTAAGTCATTGAAACACATGAATCTTTGTCACAAAGAACAATCCTGCAGTAGTGGTTCTTTCATAGATTTATCATCGGCCTACTGGAAATAGAACAAAACCTGCTGTCGAGCTTAAGATTTGCTGCTGATTACACGGACAAAGATGAAAGTTCTGTGGTCGGATGGAACAAACACAGAGCTGAAATATGTTTGGAGAGAAGGTGAGGCCTTTAACCCCAAGAACACCAAACCTAGCATCAAGCATGGAGGTGGCAGCATCATGCTCTGAACTGGAGCTTTACACAAAGTCAATGGAACAATGAAGAAGGAGGATCACCTCCACGTTGTTCAGGAAAACCTAAAACCATCAGCAGAAGGTTGAATCTTGGACACAGTTGGATGTTCCAACCAGACAATGAGCCCAAACACACATCAAAGTGGTGAAGAAATGGTTCCATCAGGCTGCAATGAAGGTTCTAGACTGGTCTCCCCAAAGTCCTGACTGAAACCATCAAGATGAGGAAGAAACAGCCCACCTAGCTGAGCGGGCGACCCATAAACAGGGGCTATAGTTCCCCGATACAGCGGTCGTGGGTTCGACTCCCGCTCATGACCCGTTGCTGCAGGTCTCTCCTCATTCTTCTTCCCCCTTTTCTGTCTCTCTACTGATCTGAATAAAGGTAAAAAGCCCCAAAACTATATATAAAGAAATGTAGTTGAACTGTACAAATTCTGTCCAGAGGAGTCAAAGATACAAACAGAAACTTGTGGACGGAAACTAAAAGGGTCTAGTTGAGGTGAAAATTTGCTAAAGGGCTTTTAACCAAATATTTGCATTTCTGTACGTATATTTTTGCTGCAGCAGATTCTGTCATATTTCCAGAGAACCTGTAATAAATCTATGAAAGAACCACATTGCCTGATTGTCTTTCATGACAGAGATTCACTTGTTTCAATGATTCTAACAAAGAGTTATAGGAGTCATTGGAAACTCAAGGCTGCCATGATGAACACGTGGCTTCAGACTTTTGTTTGCAGCCTGTTTCTGTGCTGGTTTCTTGCCTTGTCGTCGGGCAGTCGTAGCGTCCGGGTCAGCAGCAGCATCAGCAGACTGTTCCAGGCCTCTCGGTGGCTCTCTGAGGTCAGACTGATGAAGTAGGCCAGAGCTTCGCTGCAAACCCTGCGAGAGGCGACACGGCGCAGAATTACGACACAAAACCGTCGATATCAGAGCTGTGAAATGATCCTGGTGCATCTACGTTACTACCAGGACTCTAGTCAGCACATCGACAGCAGTTGCTTAATGATAAACACCTCGCACACGTATCGTTGATGTAATACATGAGTCAGTGATTCCAGCCCAGCTGCTCCACACAACAAGGTGATTTGTAGCGGGCTGTAGTATACCAATGTATTCCACGAAATATGCGCACAGTTCATAAATTTATAATGAGCCAAGAGCCATGTGTCAAAAACACAGCTCATCCTCTAATGACACAGCTGCTGCTTATTTATCTGAGGCCTGTTGTTTAACACAGGAAGCAGTCAGAGGTGCTGCAGATGAGCAACACTGGCATGTTTTTGCAATGTAGCACGATTAAAGTAGTAAAAAACAAAGCAGATTATACACGTTTCTGAATGTTCAATCCAGTGGAAACACTGAAACCAACAATACATTGATTGTAATAAGTTTTATGTGTGTATCTGAAGTCTGATATATCTTATAGCTTTGTGCAATAGAGCGCCATAGTGCAAAAATTGTTCATTAATAGCTAAAAAACTGAAGATTGTTTAATAAACCTCCAACGATCCTGCTGCCAGAGGTTTCCTCCAGATCTCTGTCCCTGTAAAAATCCACTTTTTCATCCCGTCTGAGCTTCATCGTTCAATAAAACAGCAGCTGTCTGAACTTTGTCGTGTGTTTTTGACAACTCCTCCACTCATATATGTACACAAGTGTTTAAAGTAGTATTTACTTTCTATTTTTTGATTGTCTTTCTGTACTGGGGGGGAAAAAGAAGAAAAAAAAGTAAAATTGTACACATGGAAATGTTGTTAATTTTGGTGTTTTGTATAATTTGTTTATTGCATTCTTTTTTCCTGCTTGTTTTTTTGGTATATTCTTATATACTTATTTATTTTGTGCTCTTTTTATGTAAACAGCCACATAAGTAATCTAAGGTCTGGTCCACACGTAGCAGGGTGTCTCACAAAATGAAGATAATGTTCTACGATTCGTCATGTCATCCACATGAAAGCACAGATTCACGGCCTTAAAAATGATTCTTTCAAAAACTTCCAACCAAAGTGAAGTTTTGCTAATCCTCCATTTATGCGTCTGTATGTGGACGTCAATAACCGGGGTTTTCAGTTTCGAAACGTCACTGCCTGTGACCAAATATGTTCCAACGTCACATATGCGAGCTGCGTTTACATTCAGAAACAGCGTGGACGCCCTCAGACCTGTGCTGGCGTCGTCTCTGGTCCAGGCCCAGATACCGCTCCACGTACAAGAACACAGGAGAAGTTAAGGACGGATATTTTACGACGTCGAGAGACGGAGGCTTGTTCTGATTGGATAAGATATGAGGAACTAACTAAAGGTTTGGCAGCTTATGAATGTCCTTAACAACACACTGATGCGGTTTGGTGTGGATGAATGTATTTTCTAAAAACGAGGTGGTGTGTCGGGGGGAGGATGTTCAGTTAACAAAAACCCTGCTACGTGTGGACAAGGCCTCAGTCTAAGCGTTACTCACAGCAGCAGGCGTGTCTGGATGTCGGGCCATGAGTCCTGCAGCTGCCGGTCAGAATACATCCTGAACAAGATCCTCAGGCTGCAGGCGAGGCTGCTGGTCTCCTGCTTCAGCAAGTTGGGCTTGGATTTCCCTTTAAATCCTGCAGGTCAAACAGAGACAATCGCTGTTAAACAACAACAACAGGCAGCTTTGTGTGGTCTACTATTATTTACTATCTAACTGTAAAGTCCCTCGTTTGACTCTGGCGGGGGACTTCTTGACTCGTCTAGCCCTTGGGTTACCAGTGAAACATACTTAAAGGCGTCTTTTTTGCAGCCTGCAGACGCTATTTTTAGCCCAAGAGGAACATCTTCGTCTCAGATTGTTTGATGAGCTCCAGCAGGCTGATTACCTGCCCTCCAGAGCGCCGTCCTCTGCTCGTTGTTGGAGTTGAAGTCCTTGGCGAAGGTGTGCGACTCCAGCAGACAGTCCAGCAGCTTGAAGAGGTGAGCGGACGTCATGTGCCTGTACATGCCCTGGTCCGGACCCGACTCGCCTCCCTCAGCCTCCGACTCCTCCAGAGCATCTCGCTGGCAGGAGAACAGTTGGAGACGACTTTAGCTGCATGTATGTGATGATTTTAACCAGCTTGTCACATTTGAACTCACTGTGGACTTGGTTAGCAGTACAGAGGACTCAGAAAAGAGATTTGTGGAGTCTGACAAAGTCATAACGCCGTAGATCCAAAAAAAGAAAAGAACAAAGTTGAATTTCTTTGAATAATTCCACCAAGGTTCCATTTTTTCTGTTTTTTTGACATGAAACTTGTTCGAAATGACTCAAAATGTGTCCAAACTGAAATAAAAATTATTAAAAATGATCAAAATTATGCAAAATTTGTTCCGAATGACTAAAAACTTCCCAGAAAATCACTCGAAATGTCTCTGAAATTGGATAAAGATCATCCAAAATGCCTTGAATCCATTCAAAATTGCTAAAAACTGTTCAACTTGTGCACAGTAGTTAAAATATAACAAACACAAAAACAAAAAGGAATCCACACATAGAATATTCTTCCAAGCACCCACAGGTGGTACCAAAACTACAAAATGAAGAACTCTTCCTACTATACATATATAGAAATCGTTTTTGAGTCCTTTAAATCGGTAGAATTTGGTGTGTGGCAAATAAGGCAAACCAAAGATGTAGTTTTTCTGCTTTTTTAAAATAACGCTTTGTCGAAATTGTCGTAAATTCCTCAAAACCTGTTCAAAATGCTGCAAAATGTGTCACATGTGACCTGAAACTTGTCCAGAATGACTCAGAGTTAGATAAAGATCGTCCAAAATGATTTATTGCTTGTTCAAAATTACTAAAAAAATTGTTGAAACTGTCTTGAACCTTGTCACCAATGACTCAAACATGATGATTTCTGAAATCCACATGTAGAACATTTTCCTCAAGCACCCACTGGTGTTACCAAATGAAAAAAAAAAAACTCAGTTCAGCCTCAATTTTTTAATGAGACATTTAGATTAAAGTGATTTTGATGGAAAAATGACAATTGTAAGCAAACATTTTGAGACAAGTAGCTCAAAAACAGTTGATTCTTTCTGTTTTTACAATTTGCGGCTGACAAATGGTGTAATTTTGTCATTTTTTACAAAATCCAGGCATGATTTTTGAGTTAAAAACACCCAACTGTCCTGAAAGGGTTTGTTTTTTGTTCCTCTCTTGTCCCAGTTTAACGAGTTCAATCATCTGAGATCTGAAGGCAGCATTTCAGAGGAGCTACACACCAAATGTGATCACAAATACGAGACAACCCGACACGTTTAGTGCGGCCGACCTGTGCAGCAGCCATGTTCTCAGCGTCCTCCTTCTTGCTGGTTGTCGGGTAGAACACGATGTTGTCGATGGTCTGGATTAGCTCAAGCTGCACCACGCATTTAATCAGCAGCCCTGCAAACAGCTTCTGGTCCGAAACTCCTGCAACGCACAAAGAAAAGACACCAAAAATGAGTTATGAACAGCATTTAGGTTTTCTGTTGTTTACTGTCTGAGCTGTTGCTCAGGCTGGACGTCAGAAACAGGGGGTTTGTGTCTGTACATGCTGTGGACTCACTGGCGTTAGATTTCCCCTTCCAGGTGTCGTCGCTGGACATCTGGCTGTGTCCTCTCTCGGACAGAGCTCTGTCGTAGCTGCTCTGGGACAGACTGTCGAAGTCAGCGTCCTGCAGACGTACAGTCACGAGAAACACCGTAAACATTCACATATCTGACAGAGTGCAGAGATTAGTGGCAAACGGACACTTCATCACGTTTCTGACCAAGTACGAAGCATCTACAGAGCTGCTATCGAGCACAATTACTGTTCAGCTGCTGGATAATTCATTGAGTTTCTTACAAAGTGCTTCCCATCGACAGCTTCCTCGTCCTGTCCAGCCGGTCGCCAAGTCAACAACCTGGTGAAAAGCAAACAGGCCGACTGGGTCAGGTGTGGTCATCGCTCACATTCTGTCACAGCACAAAGGATCAGTAACTCTAAAACACAGCAGCCGTAACTCCTCGCCTTAACGTTTAACCCTCTGAACCCCAGAACACAGCAGCAGGTTTGAAATCATGTTAATCTTTAGACAATCTGCAGCATTATAGCATTTATTAACTGTACAATCAGAGAGGACAGCTGTGGTTCACTTTATTCTACATGTCTCATTTAAAAATTCATCAAAAATAAACAGTTTGCTCGCATCACACTCTGTCAAAAACAAAAAAATTCTGCTGTTCTCGTCACAACCAGGAAGCTGTGACTGACTCAGCTGCAACCAACAGTCACCTGAGGAAAATTCAGGGACTTTTCAGCTGAGCGGCAGGCTGTTTACAGAGAGTATGGAAACAGCTCAAAGTCTACGTAGTAAAATACGTATATGATCCTGACTTTCAGTATGAGTACGGACCGTGAAAGCGGGGCCTCACCATCCTTCTGACTTTTTGGGTTTCAAGCAGAAGGTGTTAGAAAAGTTACCACAGGGGTAACTGGCTTGTGGCGGCCAAGCGTTCATAGCGACGTCGCTTTTTGATCCTTCGATGTCGGCTCTTCCTATCATTGTGAAGCAGAATTCACCAAGCGTTGGATTGTTGTTCACCCACTAGTAGGGAACGTGAGCTGGTTTAGACCGTCATGAGACAGGTTAGTTTTACCCTACTGATGACGTGCTGTTGCAATAATAATCCTGCTATGTATGTTTGTAAAATATCTCAGCTCAGAAGTGAGAGTTTTCATCAAAATCTGCTTATTCTACATGTTTTATTTAAAGTTTTATTCATTTAAAGTCATTTGTATTGAACGGATTCTGCAAAAAACTGAGAATTCTAAAAACTGTGGAGCCGCCAGAGACTCTAATGTGACCGACAATCATGTGACAGTCAACGCTTGTCTTATTATTATTATTATTATCATCATTTTGGGGGAATTAGCAAAATTACTTTATTTATTAGAGGCAGAAACTGTAAAAGCAGAAACAATCAAGTGTCTTTGAGCCACTTCTATGTGACGTCTCGTTTCGCCAGAACACAAGATCTTAAAAAGTATAAAATTGTGATTTTTTTTTCTTATCAAAATCAATTTATTCTACTTTTTAAAAAAAAATTTTTTTAAATCTCAAGCTCAGGGACACTTCAGCTGAACTGTTTCTACACATCTACAATATGTAGAGTCACTGTTCCTTTTAAAGTCTTGATCAAACTTGTGGCCACTCGGAAAAATGTTTTACATTCAGTTTTTGTAATTTTTCTTTTTCTTTCATGATTTATGGCATCATAACTGTGTCCTCCTGCACAGAAGACATTTCTGAGTTCTCTCTCCTTCCTCATGGGTGTTTTGTTTCCACAGAGGTGCAGGAAACATGTGAGGAGCAAAACAACGCCCAGAAACTGCTGCTCAGAGTCCAGAGGGTTAAAACAATACAATCAAACTACAATCAGTTCAATAAGTGTCTAATTGTCATTACATTCTTTGCATTTTTGCAGAAATGATTTTAAGCTGCTGCTGAAAACTAACTGCATCATGACAATAAAGACTCTTGACTTGACTTGAAGCCGGCGGTTCGGTACTCACGCGTGAGGGCTGGTGTTCTGGAAGATCTCCAGCATGCAGGAGCACGTGATGTTCCAGACGTCGGGGCTGAACTTCTCCCCGTTCAGAATCACCAGGTTCTCCAGACAGTTGGTCCCCGACCGGGCCAGCTGCTCGTTGTCTGCAGGAGGCGAAAACAAACGTACACATGGCCTGTGAAGCTCAAGTAAAGGAAAGACGTCGGTGCCGTAACACGCTGGAGGAGAAAACTGTAAAACTACGAGCATCTGTGGATTGAGTCACATGACTTTTTGTCAACTTTCTGTCTGCTATCTAAAAAAAATAATCAGAAATACTACAAAATAGTTTAAGAAAGTAAACCAATATTCATATTCCTATACAAGCATCAGGCGACAACATCACTAGACCTGCCCTGTTAGAGGTCATGGGACAGTGATAATAACAGTTAATTTAATATTTGCTGGTTTGAAAAAGTGGAGAAGCTGTGATATGTGGTTAAAAACATGCAGCTGATTTAACCTCTCGTGTGCGATTTGGCGGCGACGCAAAAGTGAAACTATTTAGGCAATTTAAGATATTGGACGGAGATGGATTTTCCTAATTATTTTTACTGTGTATTATCTAAAAGCACTACAAACCAGGTCCAACATGTCATCTGATATTTATATTTTACTATTTTTACACACTGTCTTCTGCTACAACAGCTCCTGATCTAATGTTTGGTTAAAAGGATGCAACACGTGAATATGTGACGTAAAAGTCAAAGAATTAGAGAAACTGGAAGGAGGAGGTTTCAGTTTTCTTCTATGTGAAGATCCAAAGAGAGTAAATAATGATGTTTGAGAGGTCAGACATGTTTCAGGCCCCTCCTTGCACCAGTACATTTTTATTTTTATTCTTTTTAACTCCAACTTGTTTTTGATTAATTTAATCTATTGCCTACATTCTGACGACATGTTTTACTTTATTTCATTGAGCTAAAAAGGAAATCTTCATGTAAAGCCCTCTGAATAACCTCTGAGTATAAATAAACTTGTTGAGTGTCTTTTCTGTGTCCACGCCAGCTGATGTGTTCCATCTAAACCATAACATCAGGCGTTACCTCTCTGCCTCGTGAGCATTACTTGCAGTTTTCCCAGTCAGAGGCGTGCTATGACTGCTGCTGAACACCCACCTTGCCTGACGCACCACTGGAGCTGCGTGAAGATGTCGGCCAGCAGGATCTCGCTGAGCGGCTCGTAGAACTGGGTGAACACGTCGCAGATGGCGTACAGGGCGTGGTTACACGTCGTCGTCATCCACTCGGTTTTCTGCAGGCAAAACGCAAGCGAGGTTTTTATTGAAAGGTGTTCCCGCTTTCTTCCTGTATTTGTAAATATTGAAACACCTCCGACCTCCGTCTGCTGCTCGGGAAGCTTCATGTTGTCGAAGATGCGGAAGACGATTCGGAAGAGGTCGTGCCACCAGTGCTTCTCGAAGGTGTGGCCGTAACTCTTCATGATCTCAAACATGACCGTGAGGCCTCTGCAAGGAGCACAGACACACAGGACGCCGGCTTTATCGCACCGAGGCGCAACAGCAATAAAACGGGAGCAATGCAGCATTTCATCTTTAAGATGCAATGTCTCACTTCCATGTACAATATGTCAGTGTAGTATTTTATTCTTCAGATGCAATGTTTTAAACACAGGTGCATTATGTCAATATAATGTGTAAAATGCCAATTTTTTTATGTGCAATTCTTAATTTTTCGGGCACAATATTTAATTTTTAATGAGCAATATTAAAAAACACAGGTGCAACATGTCGATGTAATGTCTAATATGTCATTTTTTCATGTGCAGTATTTACTTTTTCATAAGAAATACTTTAAATACATGTGTAATATTTAATTTTTAAGAGGCAATATTTTAAATACACATGCAATATGTTAATGTAATGGGTAATATTTAATTTTTAATAAGCAATTCTTCATTTTTCATGCACAATATTTAATTTTTAATGAGCAACATTTAAAATAAAGGTGCAATATTTCACTCTCATGCACAATATGTCAATGTAAGGTGCACTATTTCATTTTTTAGGTGAAATATATCATTTTTCAGATGCAGTATTTCATGTTTCCCATCCAATATTTTAAATACAGGTGCGGTATGTTCATGTAATGTGTAATATATATATATTTTTATGCGCAACATTTCATTTTACAGGTGCAATATTTTAAATACATGCAAAACATGTTAATGTAATGTGCAGTTCTTCATTTTTATGTGCAATGTTAACTGTACAATATGTCAATGTGATGTGCACTATTTCATTTTTCATTTGCAATATTTCATTATCATCTGTAACCACCGCAGTATCATTGCCACTATTACTACTTTTCTATTTTACTCTTATTTTAGCCTCCTTATTATATTTTCAGACATGTATCGTACTTACATCTTAGTGCTTTTCTTATCATTATCTAATTAGTTTTCTGAGCACTATCGAGCAAAAGAATGTCCTTCTGGATGAATAACGTTTTCTGTTTTCACCATTAAATCATTTGCTCTATAATGTAAATAAAATGCTTTAATCCTGGTGCTTGTGTTGTTCTACATGTCAGTTGTAACAAAAACAACACATACAGGTATATATTTGATTTTGGTTGTGTTGAAATCACTAGAAAAAAAGAAGGTAAAGCCTCAAAAAGACAGACGTTCTGGAGCAAAAGAGGACACACCCATGTGGCTGAAAGATGAAACTAAAACCTCACAAAAAATGACTTCAACCTTTGAAACCTGAGCGTTTAATCGCTCAGTATTTACACGCCTTTGTTACTAGAAAGAACAGCCAGTCGATGTTATTTTCAGTCTTGTTTGAACTCAAAAACACTCTCAGTTTGCTTTTATACTATTTATGTTAACGGGCAGCTTGAATTAAAAGGTTTTATTCAGCTTAATTCATGCCTACAAATTTAAAACACACAAAAAATACGAGTGTGTGGATAAAGGAAAGTGTCTGAATGAAAAAAAAAGTTTTAGCTTGAAGGACACAAGCACAACTTTACACCCTGAACCTTTCATTTTTAGCTTCTACTACAGTTTGGCAAATTTGCACAGCGGAACGTCATGTTTCCTCAGCAGCAACTCGCAGATACCAGAAGTACAAACTGTTCCTGGATTTGCTCTTAAAACTGAGAGAACTTTTTAAAAATAAGAAGAAGATTTGACTGAGCTGTGAGTTTTTCATGCAAAATTGGGTGAAACTTTCGAGCCGAGCGCTTCTGCTACCTGGTCCGGACGTCCAGCTTGCAGCGGTTGATGATGCAGGAAAGTTCAAACAGGATGGGAAACCAGCCGCGGACCCACACCCGGTCGCCAGGGGCGACGTTCATGTCATCGCTGGTGTACTCCCTCAGGGCCTGAAGGGGGGCACAGCAGGACGCAAAGTCACCAAGTGTGATATTGAGCTGTTTCGTTCCAAGAAACCAAACACTGATTACCGTAATTTCCGGACTACTGAGCACACCTGAATATAAGCCACACCCACGAACTTTAAAAAGAAAAAAAAAGTGTACATGTATCGGCTGCACTTGTCCATAAGCTGCAGGTGTCCACGTTGTAACATGACGTATTTACAAAGAAAGATTTCATTAACTTTTAATTAAATACATACTGGTAACATACACAAATACTGTAAATGCTGTTTTCCAAACAGTGCCTGTAACACGGCTGGTTAAGAAAATAAAAACTACAGCAGCCTACCAGGAAAAGTCACTGATCGCTATCTTCATCTTCCTCTTGCGCACTAATAACAACTAAAACCGTCTCCTTCAGCCTCAGAATTACTTCGTCACACACTTCCTCAGTCTCTCTTTCGTTCTTGCTCTCAATGTCACTTTGGTCTCGGGGCAAATGCGTAAAAATCCATAAATTAGCCGCATCACTGTTTAAGCCACCGTGTTTAAAGCGTGTGAAGAAAGTAGCGGCTTATAGTCCGGAAATGAGGGTATATAAAAGAGAATAAACACAGTTCAGCGGCTCCTACCTGAGGGCGGTCAGAGACGTATTTAGCACAGTGTCGGATGAGTCTGATCGACTCCATGCTGGTGTCGGGAAACGCTGCGTTGCACACAAACTCCGACAAACACTTCACTGCATCCTGGAACGAATCGATAGCAGCTGCAAAGTGCTCCTGGAAGGTGTTCACTGATGGAGGGAAAAGAAACAAGAAAGAATCGTTGTTGATCTTAAATCTCTCTCCTCTAAAACACAACAACTAGGGATCTGCATGTTATCTGTAGGGCTTTTTATTGAGGGTGACACTTTTCCAATTATTGATATCCCTATTTTTATTGACTGATTATCGCTAAATGAATGAACTCTAGCTCTGATGCAGCCTCCTCTCTGTCTGTAGTCACTCTCAGCAATGCCCCACCCACAGCCCTATCTGATTGGTCACATGTCACAAATAACAGTCAATTACCGGAAGCTATTGTTTACACAGAGAGACAGATGAGCACATTAGCAGAGCTTCGGTGAATGAGTCGTCTGGTGTTTGGATGGGCAGGTAGGAGACGCTGCTGCAGTTATAATAAAGACCACAATCCTCCAGCAGCATGCCCAGTTTCCTCATTACACTGAAAATACCTGAATAGCTCACTTGATGGTGTTAGTGCAGCGGGAGCTTATTTTGCTGACCGTGCTTGGCTGAAGCTATCACGAAGAAATGTGCTGTGCTTCTAAGTCAGCAGCTAACGCTATCTGGAGTGCTGTAACATCCCTCTAATGTAAGATTAATAAGATGGCTTTAGAAGGTGAGGTAGCAGATGATGCTAATAAGCACCACAATCTCCCACAAACAGCTCCGTTCACCTGTTACACAGAAAACAAGTAATAAACTTGTTGGTGTCAGTGCAGCAGGAGTTTATTTAGCAGACCGTGCTAGGCTAAAGCTAACACCAAGAGGCTTGCTGTGCCTTTTAGCCTGAGACTAACACCATCTGGAGTTCAGTTTGTTTTTAGTTTAGCTTATTCCTTTAGTTTTACACAATTAGAAGTAAACGCACCAGAGTTATCTAGCAGCTAATGCGCATCCGTTGTCCCTTGACAATCTGCAAAAACTAAACAAGACGCACAATCTCTCGCCACAAATCGGGACATTAGCGGCTTTTACAGTGGCTAAGGCTACGCTAACGGCTAGCAGCTAAGTTAGGGGGCAGCCGCAGATTAGCCTGAAACAGAGTCTGGAAAACCGTAACAAATAATGCTGAGATATGAACGTTTGTGGGCAATAAAAGACAATCGACAAAGACTAAGAAAACAAAAGTGCAGGAGACAAACTGTTATTGATCTCAATCGATTGATCTCACAGGAAACAGAGGCCCTAATGTCACGTGATGATCTGATGTCACCACTCCTATTTCTCCTACACATATTCAGTCATTGTAATCCTCACTAATTGTGTAACCTTGTCGTATATTACAGTTTCCCTGCGATCACATGCTGGAAATATATATAACATTATTGTGCATTGGTTTCAAATATCGGTCTTGATCCCCAAGACATGATACGGCGCCCAGAAAAACACAACCCAACACATCAGTGGAGCCTGAGTTTTGTGGTTCAGCTGCAGCGTTACTCACTGACGATGTGCCCGGTGGTCTGGAAGGCCAGCTCCACGATGGTCTCGTCGTGGTCGGAGGCGGCCTGGTGAAACACTGAGAAGATGTTCTTCCAACCTGAGCGGATGTTTGCCGCCTGCGAGTTCACCATCTGAGCAACACACCTGATCACCATGTCTCTGATAGTGGGGGACCTGAGGGTTGAACAAAACACGATATAACGATGGGTTTGGTGGATGCATTATATTATAAAACATCCAACAAACTGCTGCATTAGTATCTACTGAATAAACCCAGTTTATGCCAACCACTTCTGCAAACTAGCACTGACAAAGCACAGCGTCTTCTTCCACATTTTTTACCTGTTCTTCTTCATGATGTGCTCGAAAGGCCTGAGGAAGTCCTTCTGGAAGCGGAAGTTTGCCAGCTCCCCCTTTTCCAAGAACTTCATGGAGAGCTGCCTCAGCGAGTCCACGGCGAAGATGGCGACGTCTTCGTTGGGGTTACAGCCGACCTGCAGGCGACACAACGCTCATTCATGAAGCTCAGACAAAAGTAGCTCTGCGTTACAAAAATAACAGTTTAAACCTGCATAACAGAATATTTTAGCACTGACAAAATCACCTCATTTAGCTGATACGGCTAATGAGTTAGCTAACAGTGAATTATGTTTACATCTTGCATTTACAGAGAAGCATTAGCATTTATTTAGCGCTGTGTTTGTGACCAACTGGACAATTTAACTATAATATCAACACTATTTATAAATTTGCTTTAATCTTTACCAACGTCTGAGGGAAAATCTGCCTCTTTAGCTGCTAAATGCTCTGCTATGCCCACACGCTAATTGCTAACTTTATCCCCTTGTCTTTTTAATGCTAAAAACAGCTGCAACAGCACTGATTAAAGCAGCGAGACTGAACCAAAACAGCAAACGTACAGGAGGAAAAACCAAAAATAAGACACTAAAATGGCAGGAGATCATTTTTCGTAGGTTTCTGAGTCAACTCTAAAATATATTAATTTGATAAACGACCATTATTACAAAGAGCAGTAAGTCTGATGCTGGTATCTGAAGAGTCTGAAGCTAAATAATTCTACAGTGCCACATATAAAATGCCATCACTGACTGATGCTGCATCCCTTTATGGGTCTTTATTAAAAGCTCACTACATAACAACATCACCGCATTGTGTAACTCCAACATAAACGTATGATTTCAGGTCCAAAACATGCCCCACTTTACTGCATAAAAATAAATAATGTCCGGCCTGGATGCTGCAGACGCACAGCCTGTGCAGACATAATTAAAGAGCCCTGAAATGACCCGGTGGAGGCAATAAATCAGAGTCCTCGAGGGGGTAATGGAGGACAAAAGTGAGTCTGCAGAGCGGTGGGGAGCAGCACCAGAACAACACTGTCATCCCAGCGCTGCACACCGCGCTAAAAGACCGCCATGCTTTAACCGAAATTGGGAAAACTTGTTTTATTTTCTCTGCTTTGCACACCTGGAACATTAAAGCTCGGTGTAACTGTACCTGCCGTACCGTACTCCCACCATCACTGTAAATGGTTCATGTCCTTAAAGATTCCTCGAGTTTTAAATAAAGGTTGAATGGAAAAAATGAAACACCAGGAGGAAGATTGTGTGCACTGACCTTGTTGAAGTGGTCTCCTATGACCTGCCAGATGCGAGACCACTGCAGCCTGATGCGGTTCATGTTGTAGTAGGAGATCTCCACAATCTTCTGCAGGCTGAACATCCTCGGCTGGTGCGCCGACGCCAGCTCGTCCATGGACACGGCGCACAGCCACCGCACGAAGTCCACTGGAAGCAACGGAACGGAAACACTTTGTGAGTTTCTCTTCTTGGCTTCTAACACACACTGGACTTAAAACATTGAACAACATGCTCACCGATCGCATTCCCATCCAGTCTGGTGGAGCCGGTGAAGATCCTGCAAATATAAAAACACTTTGAACATCTGAAGGGAAAAGAAACTCCGACTCATCATAAAGGACGAAGACAGAGTGCGTTTCTAATAATGTGCTGTCGTGTCTCCTCACCGATCCACAGCGACCACCACACTCTGGGAGCTGGTCTCTCCGACCGACTCCTGGATGTGAGCCATCTGCCTCTTGTCCTGACTCCCCACCAGGTTACCTGCAACAGCCAGCGGGTTTAATGTGTTTAATGTTTACAGTCCGACAGCAGACACGCAAAACAAATTAATGTGAGTTTTAAAAGCCCAATGCAATCGGTGTGAACCCTCTGACCCCCCAAATCCTCCTGGTAGATTTAAAGGTGTGTTTTATTGAACCAAAGCATCAAAACGACACGATTTATCAGGCAGAAACTGTAAAAACAGAAAACATTCACCGGATTTTTAACTTTCCGACAGTCTTGATTTACTCATCGGTGACGTGTCGTAAACTTAGCTAAAAAAACGTAACTAAATCCAAGCCTAAAATTCTGATTTTTCATTTAAGCCCCTTTATTCTGCATGTCTCTTTTTTAAAAATCACCAAAAACAAACCAGTTGCACCAGATTCTGTAAAAAAAATAAAAATAAAAATCCTGTGCTATGTAGTGCAACTGAGAAGACACGATCAAGGGATTTTTCAGCCGAACTGGGTTGAACTGCAGGCAGTGTTCCCACCGAGCAGATAGGACATAAGCATAGAAACTAATTAAAAATATAAAATATCTATAGTATGTAGAGTCCCTATTTTTTCCACTGTATTGGTAACACCTACAAGCATCTATACATGTTGATTTGTTTTTGTTTTTTTCCAGTTTTGGTAAAATAATCACAGGAAAGCAACTCATGTTTTTCTTTTTTTTAAATGATTTATGTAATTATCTTAAACTGCTCCATAAACATTTCTGAGCTCTGTCTCCTTCTTCATGGTTGTTTCTGTTTCCGTAGAGGTGCAGGAAAAATGTGACAGGGGCAAATAAACTTAAGGTTCAGAGGGTTAATGTGCGTAAATGTGTTCTCTTGTATGTAAAAACCACGATATCGGGGGTTAAAGTGTGCACAGAAGTGTGGTTGTGTGAATCCTACCCAGCCCCAGAGGCATGAACTCCTCCGTCCCCGATGGTAAGCCCCTGATGCCGGCCTCCCTGTCGCGGACCACCCCTGAGATGTAGCGCGTCTTCACCCCGGTGCCGATCAACTGGGCGAGCTCCAGCTGACTGATGCAGCGCAAGATCTGCAACAAACAAGCGTAAAGAGTTACACGTGCACCTCATCGCTTACGAACGGAAGCTATTTTTGAGATAACGCTGTAGCTTCACCTCGTGCCAGGAGTTGCCCAGGTAGTTCCCGTCAGTGTGGGCCACAGTGATGAGAGTCTTGATGGTGTCGATGTTCTTCTGCTTCATCTCCGTGATGCTGGAGCTGGCGGTCAGCAGAGTGAACCTGGCCAAGGCTTGAACGTACGCATCTCGCTCCAGCTGCAAGCAAGAAAGGCCCGGTTACTGACACAACGACAAACATGCAGCTGCTGACAGACAACCAGAAGAGAGCCAGAGAACGTCATCGGACCTGCATGCTGAAGATGCAGGCGATCCTGATGGCACAGCGAATGCCCTCCAGACACAGCGAGGCCACCTCGGGGTCGTCACAGTCCTGCAGTCCGACGCTGAACGCCGCCAGCAGAGGAGTCCACGCCAGCTGGAACACACAGAAACCATCGAATGAGTCCACGTTTGATGCTTTGAGTCTCCTTCTTATCATAACAGGCATCCCGGTGTTCAAAGATGTGGTTCAGTGTCGTGGCAAATTCACGCTTCTGCAAATCATACTTCAAATGGGCCGAGCAAATTGCATTAACTCTCACATCGAACACACGAAAGGAAACAGCAGCTGCTTACAGAAACACTATACGAGGGATTCTTTGTGAGAGAGGCTCGCTTCAGTTCATTTCACTGCAGCTTGGTTCTTTGTTTTCATGTCTTTCTGTAGCAGATTTAATTTCATGTTTACGGTCATTTTCTTACTGCACCATCCAGCTTCGGCTTAGATTTATCCACCCTGACATTATCCTGAACGGTAAACTCTGGAATCTGTTTCCCCTCGATGACGACGAGCTGCCCAGGCCCTAGTTATGATGATGCCGCCGCCGTGCTTCACCTTTGGGTGGATGCTTTCACCTGATGCTTGTATTCTTCACCAAACAATTCAACTTTATATTAATCAGTCAACAAAACAACTTCTAGGAAACAATGCAGAGTGCCACAGTGCTCTTTGGCAAACATGAGCAGTTGTGTTGTTAATGATTAGTTTGATTTGATGGCAGCCTCACAAACAGAGTAGAGTTGTAATAATTAATTGACTACTTGTCAATTTTAAAATTAATCTCTAACTATCTTGATAATTAACTAGTTAAGTACAAAAAAAGTAAAAAATCTCAGATTCCAGCTTCTCAAAGTTGAATATTTTCTGGCTTCTTTCATCCTCGTGGACAAAAACTCCACCGATCGCAGTTTTTTAACCATTTTCTGACATTTTAAAGCTCAAACAAGTCATTGATGAATCAAGAAAATAACCAAAATAATCTACAATTGAAGTAATCGTCAGTTGCAGTCACCTTACAACAGAGACGATGCAATAATTCCTTGTGTAACTTTTCAGTAATAACACTTTGAGATTAATTTTTAACACTTAAAGCCCTCATGCACGTCAACAAATCTTGTTCTTGAGTCTTTAGACATTTAATTTTCGTGACGTGTAGTTCACATCAGCAGATACTCCGTGTGATCAGAGACTCAAACCTCTAATCTTGTTTCACTGATTGGATTAGCTAAAGGTGATGTCATTCGCCAACAGGTACTTTTTCCAACTTGCCCTTTAAATTTCTAAATGATGCATTCAATACAGACGATATGACCTACACAATAGGAATTAAATTTTTCCTCCCCTGTACGTGTAAAGAGTCAGAGGTTCTACCTTGAACATGGGCCTGACGTGCTCCAGGTGTGTGGCGCTGAAGAACGGAGCCTGAGCGTGGCTGACCGCCTCCATCAGAGCCTTCGCCGTCTTCGCCATCTGCTCCATCTCCATGTTGTAAAGCAGCCGGCGCTGCTTCTCGCTGGCCACACCTGGAGGCAGAAGCACCCGAACGTTACTCCACCTACTGGTGAGCAGCAGCAGGAGGAGGCTGGAGGACGCCACGGTTCTGCTCTTTTGAAGTGTAGCGAGAAAACCGGACGGTGAAACGAGAACTCACTCTGCTTGGTGGACTTGGGTGTGATTGAAAACTCTTTGCTCTCCTTCATGGCGATCTTCTTGCCCGCGATCTCGTCGTATATGGACGACAGGTACTCCTCGGGCAGGTCCTTGCTGTCGTTAATGCCGCGGTTCATCTTGATGTACTGCTCCTTCGTCATTTTGTTCTTCACCTGCACAAACGAAGAACGTCAGGAGAGACAGTTAAATATTTAACAAAGCTCCAGATTAGCATTCTAACTGGTAGCACCACTACAATTTACTGACGTTCCCTAAACGCCTCACACGCATGCTGAGTCGATATTAAGAGGCTGCAGTTCACTCCGTTCTGTGAGCAAAAATTTTACTTTAAAAACAAAAAATGGAATAAAGCATTTTAATGTCAGATTAGCTCAAGATGAAACAGAGGGATTTGATCTACATTTTCTGTGTGTGCAGGTGATCGTGTTTATCAATCAATTAATCAATCAGACTTAATTCATACAGCACTTATAAAATTAAATGCAACATTCAGTGCTTTACAGAAATAAAGAATAAAAATGTGATAAAATTACACAAACAACATCCCCAACATCATGTTATATTTAATGTAGAATTAAAAAACACAAGAATTAAGGAACGGAGGAAACAATATCAGAAATAATGCATGTAATAAATAAATAAAAATGATAAAGAGATAAATGACAAAATAGAAGTCAAAACAGAATAACTGGGAGCCAAAATCATGATTAATATTCATTTAAATTCACAGCCCTGCTACTATGTGTTGAAACTGAACGTGTTGTTTTATTTCTTCATCGGCTCAGTCGGTATTTTCCTGAGTCGGACCTCTAACATGACACCTGCCTCATCCTCTCCTCATTTCTATTAAATTAAAAAAAATAATAATCAGCTGCAGATGCTTCAACTTTGGAACACGCAACAGATAAACAGCTTGTTTTATGCATCAGGTGGAGACAAACTGACAGAACCGGACCTTTATGTGCCAGTTAGAGCGACACAAAAACAGCTTAATTATCGTTTTACACACGGGAGCTTTGTCTAAGCATATGTTTGCATTAAAGCACAAGCTCCTTAATTTCTTGCACATCTTCCTCATGTCTGAACGCTGAGAAGCCAAGAGGAAGCGTTAAATTACAGGTTCAAGAAAAGACTATTTTGAAATGGCGTCTTCATCCCACAAGTCGAGGATTAAATGTGACAAAACACGAGTGAAGACCAACGATTGAAGAGCTTAGAAGGATAAAAAAGAGAGAATTTGGTCGCAAACTTTCAAGAATTAAGCAAAAACCCACACAGGAAGGTGAAACAGAATAAAAAAAACAATCAGACAGTCGCTTCTGTTCTCCGGTCCTGTGCATCTGTGCAGCTCTACGGAGAATATTACACCTTTTAATTTCCTGCAATATTCTTCTCTGCTCTCGGCGTGTTTTTTATTGTCTGTCTTGTTTCCCTGCTCCTCGCTGGATATTGTCTGTATTTCACACCTGCCTTTCCCAGACTCTAAATCTCAGACCTAACTTCTTCTGTCACAGCGGTCTGTCAGCGGTGATAAATCAGCGGCAGCAGCTATTTCCAGAAGGCTGAATTAAGACAGATACTGGCCTGTGCAGCCTCCACATTCGCTTAATATGAAGCTGCTGCATTGGCTGGTTAAAAAAAAAAAAAAGGCTCATCCAGCAAAGAAGCTGAACTAAAATGCCATCTGGAAAGCTGGCTGCGTCGACTCCTGTCATAAAAGTCCAGGTTCCGGTTTCTGATAAGCAAACTAAACAGCCAGTTGCATCTTTTTGTAAAGATAAAAGCCAATTTTCGGTCTGAAGGAGGTAAAATATGTAATTTACAAACTAAAACATGCTAATTTGAGCAGTGCTTGCTGCTTTTCTTTGAATTTTTTTTGTGCAAAACCTCGCAGTTTGTTTGTTGCCTAAAGAAGGGCTGCAGATCCTCAATAAACATGCATTTGGAAGACGGGACACTTCTGTGTTTCTGTAGACAATGACTCACACGTGATGACGGCAGTGAGAGGACATAAGACAAACAGCAGCTCTCACCTGAGGACTGTGCAGGTCTGTGGTGAGCATGATGATGGAGTAGGCCAACACGTAGGCAGTGTCTGCACTGGCGAACAAGGTCTGTCTGCAAGAGGACGCACAGCAGGAGCAGTTAGCAGCTGCACGGAGGGAACGTTTGACATATCGAGGCTTTCTTTGTGTAAGCCGACAAAACCTAAAAGCCCAGTCAGAGGTAACAGGCATCAGGTTTTCAGCTTTCTTTGTTAATCAGGTTTTTATTCTTCAGATTCTGTGAGCGTTCACATAAAAGGCGTCATGTGACTCTTCTTCTTCTGCACAAAATGGATCCATCACGGGCCTCTTAATTCAGTCAACAAGGTGTTATAGCAGAGAGCAAAGACAGATATGAAAGATTTACAACGGTAAGAAGCACCACAACTGCAAATGATGTTGCTAAATTGTTAAATGTGTGGTAATATATATATATATATATATATATATACATACATAGTTATTGCACCGCTTATTTCCAACATGTCTGCTGCACATTAAAGCTGTTAAACTTCATATATTTAAAGATATTGTATTGAAGTGCATTTAGGTCCCATAATACAGGAAATCACTTTAGGCAGCAAACCGAGACCAAACATAAAAACATATTTATGCGATTTCTGCATCATAAACTGAATCCATGCACGTTCCCATGGCAACGCAGCGAATACAATGGGCGATACTGTGACTACA